TTTAAATAATTTTTATATTTTTGAGACAGAGTTTTGCTTTTGTTGCCCAGGCTGGAGTGCAATGGTGCAATCTCGGCTCACTGCAAGCTCCGCCTCCCTGGTTCAAGCGATTCTCCTGCCTCAGCCTCCCAAGTAACTGGCATTACATGCATGTGCCTCAACACCCGGCTGATTTTTGCATTTTTTAGTAGAGATGGGGTTTCACCACGTTGGTCAGGCTGATCTTGAAGTCCTGACCTCAAGTGATCCACCCACCTCAGGCTCCTAAAGTGCTGAGATTACAAGGTGTGAGCCACTGCACCTGGCCCCATATATTTCCCCACAAAATCACATACTACCTCTCAACATTGCTGCACCCCCATTTCCCCTCCCCTATGAGGAAGGAGGCTACATAAGCATCTGGACCACTCTGCGTTATTAGGTCATCATTCTCCTGTGGTTCCCTTGCGCTTGTGCATGTGACATAAATTTTGTACACCTTTTTCTCCTATTAATTTGCCAACTGTCAGTTCCTTTTCGGGGAGCCTTTATAGGGCTAGAGAGCAGAGAGGAAGCTTTCCCTTGGCCCTACAGCTCCTTGAGGTTGGCTGTTGACTCTTTTCCTCATTGCTGTCTCTTCAGCATCTAGAATGGTGCCTCCAATGTAGAGATGCTTGATAAACATGTGTTGAGCCGGGCGCGGTGGCTCACATCTGTAATCCCAGCACTTTGGGAGACTGAGGGTGGATCAAGAGATCAGGAGTTCGAAACCAGCCTGTCCAGCCTGTCCAACATGGTGAAACTCCGTCTCTACTAAAAATACAAAAATTAGCAAGGCGTGGTGGTGGATGCCTGTAATCCCAGCTACTTGGGAGGCTGAGGCAGGAGAATCGCCTGAACCTGGGAGGTGGAAGTTGCAGTGAACCGAGAAAGGGCAGTAGAGCAAGACTCCATCTTGAAAAAAAATTAAAAACAGGCAAACAAAAAACAAAAACAAGCAAACAAAAAACATGTGTTGAGGTGCTTTCTGTTGAGTGGCAGAAAGCTCTGGAAGGGCTTTGGACATTCATGCGTCCAGGCCCGGGAACCAGATGAGGTTTAAGGCAACTTCAGCTAGAGTTTAAAAGGGGCAGGTAGGCCTACAGCTGGCACATAGGTTAAATGTAAAGTGGCTCAAACAGGATCTGATGAGGCAGAAGCAGAGATGGGGACCTGGTGTCTCACTGCCTTCATGTTCTTTCTTCTGGCTCAATCCCCACATCAGGGTGCACCCTAGAGGTACCAGCATTAGCAATAGGGCAGCTTTCCTTGTTTCTGGGATGGACAGAAAATGGGCCTTGAGACCCTTCCCACCATAGGAAGGCATCTCTTGCACTCTGGAGACTGAGGACTTGCTGTGGTGGAACAAGGAGCAGCCTCTGGCAATGGAGGAGATGCTGGATCTCCATACAGGCAGGGTGGGTGCAACGGAGTGGAGCTGTGGCAAATGTGGGCACCTCTGTCCTGAGGGTCCTGGATGTGTCATGCCTGGAAACATGAGGACATCCTTCCAAGGTGCCCACCTCAACCTCTCTGAGCTGCAATCTTTGACTTTCTGTGTTTGGTCACAGACTAGGGGTGGTCTGTCCCTAAACAGAAGAAGACAGGCAAAGATTAGAAAGGAGAGAGGAAAGAGCTAGAGAGAGAGAGCTTGGGAGAGATGTAGGGACAGGAAAGAAGGGGCAGAAGGAAAAAGGTATGGAGAGAAGGAATATAAAGAAAAAACTTTAGGCCAGTTGTGGTGGCTCACGCCTGTAATTCCTGCACTTTGGGAGGTGAAGGTGGGTGGATCACCTGAAGTCAGTTCAAGACCAGCCTGTCCAACATAGTGAAACCCCATCTTTACTAAAAATACAAAAATTAGCCGAGCATGGTGGTGGGTGCCTGATTCCAGCTACTTGGGAGGCTGAAGCCAGAGAATCACTTGAATCCTGGAGGTGGAAGTTGCAGTGAGCTGAGATTGGGCCACTGCACTCCATCCTGGGCAACAGAGCGAGACTCTTGTCTTTAAAAAAAAAAAAAAAGATAAAGAAAAGAAAAGGCTGGGTGTGGTGGCTCATGCCTGTAATCCTAGCACTTTGGGAGCTGAGGAAAGCGGATCACAATTTCAGGAGATCGAGACTATCCTGGCCAACATGGTGAAACCCCATCTCTAGTAAAATACAAAAAATTATCTGGGTGTGGTGGCGCGCACCTGTAGTCCCAGCTACTTAGGAGGCTGAGGCAGGGGAATGTTTAAACCCTGGAGGCAGAGGTTTCAGTGAATCGAGATCGCACCACTGCACTCCAGCCCAGCTACAGAGCAAGACTCCATCTAAAAAAAAAGGAAAGAAAAATCCTCCTCAGAGCAGGGAAAGATGAAGACATAAAAGGAAGGAGAGTCACTGGGAAAGAGAGAGGGAGAGAGACACAAAACAAAACGGCTGGAATGAGGTGAAAGTTATAGCAGCAGGATGTACTGACCTTGACCTTGGAGAAAAAGAGAGGGGAAGGGAGGAGTGAACGTGGCATCTTTGGCTGCTGTTCTGTTTCACTCCCACAACTCATCCTCCTGGAGTCCCTGCCATTTCCAGATCCTCAAGGCGGGACTGCCTTTGCTATCTGGTATGAGTCCTTGGCCCCAGATGGTAAGCCTGTGAGGGGTGGGGTGCTCTGAATGCCTGACTAGTCATTTATAATTGAGAGTACTTATTCCAACCCCTTCTGGTCCTCTGTCCTTCCCTCTTCTTGGACCTGCTGAATCAGAGAGGTCAGAGGGCCAGTCCAGGAGGGGTCAGGCGCTAGGTCCCTGGAGTCGGTCCTAGGGATTTTAGGCTGAGAGAAATCAGTCCTGAAAGTGAAGAGCCTACAGAGAAAAAAAAAAAAAAAAAATCTATGACATCACCCCTGGGGGTGTTACCGACCTAAGAAAGAAGCAATGGCCTGGGTGGCCTACAGCCCCAGGAAGATTCAGCCATGGTACCCAGGAGACTTGAGAGCCCAAAGCCCAGAGTTACCCCCAGAGGGACACCTGTAGACCTTCGGATCCTCAGCTTCGCACTTCCCACTGGACTGACTCTGTTTCCAGCGGGGCAATAGGCACGTGTTCACTGTGCACCTGCAACCCCAGGCATCCTTCTCAGAGAGATATGGTTTGGGAAGGGTTTGGCATATTGAGGATAAATAGATGACTGGACAAAAAAAAAAATGCAGGCCAGGTGCGGTGGCTCATGCCTGTAATCCCAGCACTTTGGGAGGCCAAGGCAGGCGGATCACAAGGTCAAGAGATTGAGACCATCCTGGCAAACATGGCGAAACCCTGTCTCTACTAAAATTACAAAAATTAGCTGGACGTGGTGGTGCGTGCCTGTAATCTCAGCTACTTGGGAGGCTGAGGCAGAATTGCTTGAATCCAGGAGGTAGAGATTACAGTAAGCCGAGATCGTGCCGCTGCCCTCCAGTCTGGAGGATAGAGCCAGACTCTGTCTCCAAAAAAAAAAGAAAGAAAAAAGAAAGCAATTACAGCAAAATATTAACCATAGTATAATCTATACGGTGGTTATATGAGTGTTCACTACACAGTTCTTTTTTTTTCTTTTCTTTTTTTGAGACATGATGTTTTAATCATGGCTCACTGCAACTTTGACCTCCTGGGCTCAAGTGATCCTCCTGCCTCAGCCTCCTGACTAGCTGCGAGCACAGGTGTGCACCACCATCACTAGCTAATTGTTTTATTTTTTTGTAGAGATGAAATCTCCCTATGTTGCCCACATTGGTCTTGAACTCCTGAGCTTAAGCAATCCTCCTGCTTCGACCTCTCAAAGTGCTGGGATTACAGGCATGAGCCACTGCACCCAGCCTCACTATACAATTCTTTCTTTCTTTTTTTTTTTTTTTTTTTGAGATGGAGTCTCACTGTGTTGCCCAGGCTAGAGTGCAGTGGCGTGATCTCAGCTCACTGCAACCTCTGCCCCTCAGGTTCAAGTGATTCTCCTGCCTCTGCCTCCTGACTAGCTGGAATCACAGGCACCAGTTATCACACCCGGCTACTTTTTGTACTTTTACTAGAGACGGGGTTTCACCATGTTGGCCAAGCTGGTCTCAAACTCCTGACCTCAGGTGATCCACCTGCCTCGACCTCCCAAAGTGTTGGATTACAGGCGTGAGCCACCGTGCCCGGCCACTGTACAGTTCTTTAAACTTTTACATGTGTTTGGATTTTTCATATTAGAAAAAGGAAAGAAAAAAATGTCTGGCAAATAGTCGGCACTCCTAAGTGTAAGGTTTTGGAAAGGGAATATATTCCCTTTCTGGGAGAATCCACATTTCAAATGCCTGGGAGGGGCTCTGTTTGTCCTGACAGATGGCAGATTTCAGGGGAGGGCATCTACCAAGCCTAGAGGTGATAAGCCACTTTGCCTACCCAGAGCTGCTGGTGGTGACCTTAAGTTTACTTGTTCTTCCTGATATATGGCACTTGGCTCAGAGTGGACTCCACCTTGCCACCTGTCACCTAGGCTGGAGTGCAGTGGCATGATCTTGTCTCACTGCAGCCTCAACGTCCTGGGCTCAAGCGATCCTCCCCACCTCCCTCCTGAGTAGTTGAGGCTACAGGTGCTCGTCACCTTGCCCGGCTAATTTTTGTTTTTGTTTTTTGTTTTGATAGAGATGGGGTCTCACTATCTTGCCCAGTCTGAGCTAGAACTCCTGGCCTCAAGCGATCTGCCCCTGCCTCCCAAAGCATTGTAATGACAGGTGTGAGCCACCATGCACAGCCAGGAACTCAAAGAATCTTACCCTATGCTGTAGTATCTGTTGACTATGGTGTGAGCCACCATGCCCAGCCAGGAACTCAAAGAATCTTGCCCTATGCTGTAGTATCTGTTGACTATGGGGGAGAGGCAGGATAAGGTGTTCCAGACCCCGCCTGACACCTGATCCGAAGAGGTTGCTCATGTTTGCTCAGGAGGTGAGGTTCACACAATAAAGGGCAGGGGGAGGGCTTGGACCTGGTATAAAACATCTGGAAGTTTCCAGGGGGTTGCTTTGCATCTGAAACTGCCAGGTGAGGGGTGGCAAAGATGCCGGAATCTGAGTTGGGGGGGGAATTCAAATCGGAGCTGGCGAATAGGATGCCTGGAAGGAGTGGCAGGAAAGACTTGAGTTAATTGGGGCTCCTGGGTCTGCACTAATCTTAGGTGCAAAGCTGTCTAGGTCTCTGCTGAAGGACTGGGGACACCTGGTTCAGGTGTCCAGGTGTTCAGGGGAATGGACATGGCCAGATGTGTGTTAGTGGAGAAAAGAATAGTGACACATAGACCAGGTACCTGGGGTCTAATATCTTGAGCTGGTCCCAACTCCTTCTGCAACTTCTCTGTCTGTCCTAGTTCCACCAGCACTGCTTGGCTACTGGTGCTGGCACAGTCCCTTCTGTCACCAACTCTGCTCCCCAGGTGACACAGAGGCACCTCGAAAATTCTTCTTTCCTTGCGACCAGGTGGATGCTAGGGATTTAAACCATGCTCCAGGTGCCCCATAAGTCAGGCCAATTCACCACAGATGGTGAGGCTTTCTTTGCTCAGCCTCTGGGCTTGGTAAACTTAGCCGTCTCTTTGCTTGTGAGAGGTCCTCTACTCCCTCCTTAGAAAACTTCTTTCCTGGCTATGGCCACACCAACCCTAATGTACCTAAGTTTGGCTGATTTCAGAAAACTTTTCTGCTTTGTGCCAGGATGGAATAAGGCTTAATCCAGATAGTTAGGGTTCATTTTCAGGCTTGAGAGAAAAGAGGAGGGCTTGGCTACAGCCAGACCAGGGAGAGCTGGAGGGATCAGGGACATAGAAGGTAGCATCAGGGAGGAACAGGACTACAAGGACTACAGGCTATGGATAGTCGTTTCTAAGCTCAAGACTGGGTCTGCTAGGTCTGAGTTGAAGGACGAAGAAGCCTTGGTCTGAGCCACAGGTCAGGAGTGCCTGGGTCAATCAAGTCCACAAGGAAAAAGGTGAATCTTCATTTGCTCTTTTCTTCCCACTCCAGCCTCAGAATGTTGACAGTCGCTCTCCTAGCCCTTCTCTGTGCTTCAGCCTCTGCCAATGCCAGTAAGTGAGATACCAGAGCCTGGTAATGGGGACATGGGAAGGCAGCCTTGGGCACTGCTGTTGGCCAAGGCTTTTGGAGGCTGGTTTCAGGTGGGAGCTGAGTTGTGGGAGGAACAGGGGTGGTGCAGAGAAACTGAACTCCTGGAAGATTTCTCCCTCCAACTCCTGCTTGCCCCTCCAGTTCAGGCCAGGTCTTCCTCCTATAGTGGAGAGTATGGAGGTGGTGGCGGAAAGCGATTCTCTCATTCTGGCAACCAGTTGGACGGCCCCATCACCGCCCTCCGGGTCCGAGTCAACAACTACTACATCGTAGGGTAAGATTCTTTGAGTTGCTGGCTGGGTGTAGTGGCTCATACCTGTCATTACAATGCTTTGGGAGGCAGAGGCAGATCACTTGAGGCCAGGAGTTCTAGCTCAGCTTGGGCAAGATACCAAGACCCCATCTCTACCAAAGAAAAACAAAAACAGAAACAAAAATTAGCCGGGCATGGTGGTGAGCACCTGTAGCCTCAACTACTCAGGAGGGAGAGGCGAGAGGATTGCCTGAGCCCAGGATGTTGAGGCTGCAGTGAGCCAAGATCGTGCCACTGTGCTCCTGCCTGGATGACAGAGTCTCTTTGCTGGCAAAATAATTGAAGTTCCCTGTAGGATCTTCCAGGGCTCACCCAGGCTTCACAGTCTGTAGGACTAGCAAGAGACTTGTCATCCCTCTCATCACCCTTCTTTCTCCTTCCTCCTCCCCTCTTTCTCCTTCCTCCTCCCCTCTTTCTCAGTCTCCAGGTGCGCTATGGCAAAGTGTGGAGTGACTATGTGGGTGGCCGCAGTGGAGACCTGGAGGAGATCTTTCTGCACCCTGGGGAATCAGTGATCCAGGTTTCCGGGAAGTACAAGGGGTACCTGAAGAAGGTGGTCTTTGTGACAGACAAGGGCCGCTATCTGGCTTTTGGGAAAGACAGCGGCACAAGTTTCAATGCTGTCCCCTTGCACCCCAACACCGTGCTCCGCTTCATCAGTGGCCGGTCTGGTTCCGTCATTGATGCCATTGGCCTGCACTGGGATGTTTACCCCAGTATCTGCAGCAGCTGCTGAGTCCCCTCTCCTTGGCAGGGACACTGTGATGAGGAGTAAGAACTCTTTTATCACTAACCCCCATCCAAATGGCTCAATAAAAAAATATGGTTAAGGCTAGTGTGTGGGGGCATATGTGGCTGGGATATCTGCCTCCTGACTCAGCTGGGGACGTGCAAATCTCACTTCTGGCTGGCTTTGGACGTCTGTCTGGAAGAGTGGGAAGATGAGGGAGAGGTGTGTGAGAATCCTGGGCTTGTACTATGATTTATCAAGAGGAGATGAGACTCTGGCTTCCATCAACGCTCTTCAAGGACAGCTCCTTAGAACATTGATCCAAACTGGAGTCCTGGGTCTGAGGGGAAGGCCTAGTTGTGGCTTATACCAAAACCGCAGATGTCCCACTCTCCAGCTCTCCTCATCCCTGGTCCTCCCCTTGAGAAAGTGCTGAACTCACTTGCTGTGTGTGGGTGGCCAGGACCATTAGCCTTTGTTCTTTCCTGGAACCCACCTAACTCCTGAAACTTAGCTGAAGTCTGTGCCCGAGGACCCTGCCCTGTTGGCAGGCCCAGTTCCTCCTCACCTCTACCCATGAACCCCAGTGTCCTGCTAAGCCCTCTCAGATCTGGGATTCCTCCTTCCTCAGGAAGCCACCACCTTCTCAACAGTGGAAACCCTGCCCACAATACGCTCTTAGGCTTTAGACATCAGAAGGTTACAGTGGACTGGGGGAGGCTGACACTAGGCTGAACTCGTTAAGGAATGAATGGGAGGTAAGAAAACACAGGCAGCAAGAATCGAGTGTTTCGAGAAGTTTGGCTCTGGTTTGCCAGAAATAGGAAAGTCAGTTATCGGGGGTGTAAGGAAAAAGGGTTTTGTGTTTTAAAATCCTAGACAGGAGAGTCATGAGCATGTTCACATGATAAAGAGGAAGAAAGAGAAAGAGGCTGGCGATTCTGAAAAGAGATCACTGATGAAGTCTCAAAAGAGATGGAAGAGGATGGTTTATGCAGTTGGGGAAATAAATTTTAAGAAGGGAAGAAAATTAAAATGAGTGAAGGTATGTGTTAGTTTTGTGAAAGTTATCAGTATATGGCCGGGCACAGTGGCTCACATCTGTAATCCCAGCACTTTCGGAGGCCAAGGCAGGCGGATCATTTGAAGTCAGGAGTTGGAGACCAGCCTCCAACATGGTAAAACCCTGTCTCTACTAAAAATACAAAAATTAGCCAGGCGTGGTGGCCCACGCCTGTAATACCAGCTACTTGGGAGGCTGAGGCATGAGAATCACTTGAACGCTGGAGGCAGAGGTTACAATGAGTTGAGATAGCGCAACTGCACTCCAGCCTGGATGACAGAGCAAGACTCCATCAAAAAAAAAAAAAAAAATTAAAAAAAAGAATGTTATCAGTATCAGAATGGAGTCACATATGTCATATCCTAACGAAATGGAACCAAGCTGACACCTAAATTAAGTGTCACACCTGATAACACCTTGGAGGACTGGGTGGAGAGCCAGCAGACAACAGCAAGGAGTGGCAGAGTCTGTAGACCAAGGTCAGGTAAAAGGATCACCCATCATGTTGGGCGTCAGATGAGGCAGGTTCACACACTACCTGAGGAAGCTGGTCTTTGTGACAGACAAGAGCTGCTCTGCCTCTTGGGAAACACAGGCACCAGTTTTAGTGCCACCCTGTTGCACCCCAATGCTGTCCTTTAACTCATCAGTTACGGTGCTGGATCCCTCATCACTGCCAATACAGGGCTAGCAATATGTCCGCCCCAGTGACTGCAGCCGCTGCGGAGACCTAGCCTCCTCTCTAGCAGGGGCCCTGTGGTGGGACTTCTCTATCATTAACCTCCATGCAGTTGACTCAAGAAAAGGATATGGTGGTTGGGCAAGGGGGCTCACGCCTGTAATCCCAAGACTTTGGGGCTCAAGTCAGGAGGGTCGCTTGAGCCCAAGATTTCAAGACCAGCCTGGGCAACACAGCAACCTGTTTGTAGGCAAAATGAGGAGTTGAAGTTCCCTGTAGGATCTTCTAGGGCTCAACCAGCCTTCATGTGCAGGGGGACTGGCAAGAAATCTGTCATCCCTGTCACCACTTTGAAGGTCTCAGGGTGTATGTAGTTCCTGAAAAGTTCAAGTCCCACCTGAGACTCTGGTCTTTTTGAGGGACAAGGGCTGCTAACTCCTTTTGGGAAAGATGAATGTCAATGCTGGCGTCTCGCAACACGGCATCATGCTCTGATTCATCAGTGATTCCCTAATCAATGCCATTGGCTTGCATTGTGACTGTCTATCCCAGCCTATCCAGTGACTTCAGCAGCTGCAGAGCCCCAGCTTCTTCTTTGGCAGGGGCACTGTGGTGAGGAGGGAGGATTCCCTTACCATGAATCTCCATCCAATTGGTTCTGTGAACTGATATGGTGGCCCAACTGTTGCAGGAAGTCAGGGACCCTGAACAGAGGGACTGGCTAGAGCCACAGCAGAGGGACATAAATTGTGAAGATTTCATGGACATTTATCAGTTCCCAAAATTAATACTTTTATAACTTCTTACACCTCTCTTTACTGCAATCTCTGAACATAAATTGTGAAGATTTCATGGACATTTATCAGTTCCCAAATAATACTCTCATAATTTCTTATGCCTGTCTTTATTTTAATCTCAATCCTGTTATCTTCATAAGCTGAGAATTTACATCACCTCAGGACCCTGTGATGATTGCATTAACTGTACAAATTGATTGTAAAACATGTGTGTTTGAACAATATGAAATCAGTATACCTTAAAAAAGAACAGAATAACAGTGATTTCAGGGAACAAGGGAAGATAACTATAAGATCTGACTGCCTGCAGGGCCGAGCAAAAAGAGCCATCATTTTCTTCTTGCAGAGAGCCTATAAATGGACGTGCAAGTAGGAGAGATATCACTAAATTCTTCTCCTAGGAAAGAATATTAAATATTAAGACCCTAGGAAAAGAATTGCATTCCTGGGGGGAGGTCTACAAATGGCCCTTCTGGGAACGTCTGTCTTATGCAGTTGAGATAAGGACTGAAATACGCCCTGGTCTCCTGCAGCACCCTCAGGCTTACTAGGATTGGGAAATTCCAGCCTAGTAAATTTTGGTCAGACCAGTTCTCTGCTCAAACCCTGTTTTCTGTTAGGATGTTTATTAAGACAATATGTGCACAGCTGAACACAGACCCTCACCAGTAATTCTAATTTTGCCCTTTGCCTTGTGATCTTTGTTGGCCTCAGAAGCATGTGATCTTTGTGACTCTACTCCCTGTTTGTACACTCCCTCCCCTTTTGAAATCCTTAAAAAAAACTTGCTGGCTTTGCGGCTCAGGTGGGGCATTACGGACCTACCGATATGTGATGTCACCCCCCGCGGCCCAGCTGTAAAACTCCTCTCTTTGTACGCTTTCTCTTTATTTCTCAGACTGGCCAACATTTAGGGAAAATAGAACCTACATTGAAATATTGGGGGCTGGTTCCCCCGATACCCAACACCATGGCTCACGGCTGTAATCCCAACACTTCCAGAGGCCAAGGCAGGAGGATTACTTGCACTTTGGAGTTTGAGGTTGCCATGAGCTATGATTGTACCAGAGCACTTCAACCTGGGTGACACAGTGAGAGCTTGTCTCTAATAAGATATAAAAAAAAATATGCCATTTTAAAAGTGTACACTTTCATGGTTTTTAGTATATTCACTGTGTTGTATAACCACTACCACTACCTCATTCCAGAACATTTCCATCACCCCCAAAAGAAGGCAGTTACATCTGTTCACTGTAGTGCCAATTACTCAACCCCTCATCATCCCCTGGCAACCACCACTCAGGTGTACTTTCTATGTCTGTGGGTTTGTTATTGTAATTTGTAAGTTAATTGATGTTACTTTGATTTCATTTTGAATACAGTAAATATGAATCAAAACCCATATATACGGAGCATCTTCACAAGCCTCATTTTTCACTGTTGCCCAGGCTGGAGTGCAATGGCACGATCTCGGCTCACTGCAACCTCCGCCTCCCAGATTCAAGTGATTCTCCTGTTTCAGCCTCCCGAGTAGCTGGGAATACAGGCGCCCGCCACCATGCCCGGCTAATTTTTTGTATTTTTCGTAGAGATGGGGTTTCACCGTGTTAGCCAGGATGGTCTCAATCTCCTGATCTCATAATCTGCCTGCCTCAGCCTCCCAAAATGCTGAGATTACAGGTGTGAGCCACTGCACCTGGCCTGGAAGTTATTTTTTAAAAATCAATTGTTTCTTTCTCTGTCATCCAAGCTGGAGTGCACAGGCATGATCTCGGCTCACTGCAACTTGCACTTCCTGGGTTCAAGTGATCCTCCTGCCTCAGCCTCCCAAGTAGCTGGGACTATAGGCACATGCCATCACATCTAATTTTTTTTTTTCTTTCAGATGAAGTCTTGCTCTGTTCCCAGGCTGGAGTGCAATGGTGCAATCTCGGCTCACTACAACCTCCAACTCCTGGGTTCAAGCAATTCTCCTGCCTCAGCCTCCTGAATAGCTGGGATTACGGGCATGCGCCACCATGCCTGGGTAATTTTTGTATTTTTAGTAGAGATGGGGTTTTTCCATGTTGGTCAAGCTGGTCTCAAACTCCTGACTTCAGGTGATCCGCCCACCTTAGCCTCCCAAAGTGCTGGGATTACAGGTGTGAGCCACCTCACCCAACCTTTTTTTTTTTTGAGACAGAGTCTTGCTCTTTTGCCCAGGCTGGAGTGCAGTGGTGCAATCTCAGCTCACTGCAACCTCTACCTCCCAGGTTCAAGTCATTCTCCTGCCTCAGTCTTCTGAGTAGCTGGGATTACAGGTGCCCGCCACAGCACCCAGATAGTTTTCTGTATTTTTAGTAGAGACAGGGTTTTGCCATCTTGGTCAGCCTGGTCTCAAACTCCCGAGCTCAAGCGATCTGCCCACCTCGGCCTCCCAAAGTGCTGGGATTACAGGCATGAGCCATCGCGCCCAGCAAATGCTGTCTCACTTCTAGGAATCAATATAAATCATCTGGCAATTAATTTTTTTAAATTTTATTTTCAGACAAAGTCTCGCTCAGTTGCCCAGGCTGGAGAGCAGCAG